TGTGGTGCAGAGCCCTTGGCCTCAGCCCATTTCATCCCAGGTCTCTCTCCTTGCTCCTTTACTTGAGTAGACCCTTCAGTCCTCCCTTATATTATTCTATACAAAATAGCGGTGTCTTCTTCCTCAGTAGCCAGTGTTTGTACCCCCTCATCAGCTCTTGGAGAAGAAGACAGGTTTATATTCAAACCCACACCAATATGCTTACAGGAAGAAATTGAGCCAGCAAGGCACTGAGAGGGATTTCTAATGTGGATTTTCCTTTAATATTACAGGCCCACAGTACTACAGACAAGTGATTGATTGCTATTGTGGAGAGAAAGGCTGCACCTTACTATATAACTTCTGTACACACTCTGGTTCATCCACTGCCAAAAGCAGGAAGGGAGGCAGGGAAGAGAAAACAAAAAATGTTTTCAGGCATTTCTTTGCAGTGCTCCTTCCAAGAGAAATAATTGTCTCAATGCCTACATTACCTAAATTTGTGCAAGAGATAAATCCTCTCTGATGCTTCCTTCCTACTTGCTGCCAAAAGCATCCCAGATAGACTGTGTGCTGTCTGTTGCAAATCTCAGTTGTGAGTTGCCTCATCTCCCATGAAATTACTTGCCTAACCTGGGGGTGTACATTCCAGTCCTCCAGAGAATATCTTTCCTGTGGTAACCACTTGAGTATCACAACACCCAAGTCCCTCTGCAGGTGTCTATGTTTGTTCCTTGTGCAGAGGTCCCTCTGGCTTTTGAGGCATATTTCCCCAGCCATGAGGAGGGAAACTGTTTTTTTGCGCTATGCTCTACTTCCATTTCTCCCTAGCTAGCATTATTCATTAATACTTACCTAGCAGCACCCATGCTTCACTGGGAGGTAGATAGAAGATGACAATGAGGAAGGAACATTTAGTGCAACGTCTATGACCAACAAACTGTGGGTCAGGGAAATCACTCCAAGCCATCTGCACTCGAAGTGCAGAAGTTGTTAGTGCAGGTCAAAACAAAACAAAACAGAGTGTGTGTATGGGGGGGTGCATGTGGTGTTGAACACAGAAGGGCTGACTCAGACAGGCTACATGTGAACTGCTTAGTAACACCAATGGTACAAGCTAATGGAGTGTGGTTAAAATAATATCCAAATCTTTCTATTGGTAGTACAATCTAAGAGGGAGCTGGAGGGCAGGAATCAAAACACCTGGTGAAGGAACTATTTCAGGGCAGTGGGAGGAAACAGTTACTTTCGTGGTTTTATACTCTCCGTAATGAATGGGGGGAAAGCCTCTTCTCATTCTTTTATGCTTTTATTCTTATGGATTTTATGAAATCAATATAGCTGGATTAATGAAAATCATATGGAAAATAATGCTTTACCTGTGTTACCTGCTTTTGAGTTATTTGCTGAAAAAGAATGAAGATATTCCCTAGAAATATTACTTGCTTTCAGTATAGCAAAGTATCTTAACAATTGTGGAAAAGGAAAAAAATCCTTGTAAAGTAAGCCTTCAAAGCAGCTAATACCACTTTTACACTTGTATTTTGAAATAGGATTGTGTAAAGCTGAATTTATCTTTTTTTTTTTAACATCAGATCTGTCAAGTTATTTAAATTTAAAATCCTAGAGTAATGGCTTATATATTTCATAATGCTTTTACAAATGGTTGCATGATATTTAAGGTTGAATTTTCAGGTCTAAATTAACAGTGCTTCACTTTAGATACTAGAGAAACAGGAACCACATATCTTAGCATACAGTTATGCATCTGCACGTCTGTCATTGAGCCATTGCAGCATACTTTTGCAAAACAGAATATTATATTTGGCAGCGCATAGACCATAAATTCTACTATGTTGTTGCTATTCTTTTTGTATTTAAGGCCTTTTGGTGGTGTAAGCCCTTGTTAGCTAAGGTCAGTGAGCACTACTAAGCAGGTGGATATGATGCAAACTGGTAGAAGCCATTTGCTGAAATTATGGCCATATCTCACAGAGGTGATGTCCAGCTGTTGCTGAACTCACTTTCCTTGTATAGCATAAATGCCAGAGCAACCCCAACAGACTGACTGCCCTCATGCTTAGTGACAGCTAAATCGTGGCTACCCATAGTTCAGGATACATAGCTGACAGAATATGTAACACCTATCTGCCGTCCTTTTACTTCTGTTTCCAGGAAGGCTCACACTTTTGTGTGATTTGATGAATGGCCTGCTTCTATTCTGAGAACATGGAAATTTTACATATCTCTTGGATGAGAAAGGCATAGAAGGAATAAGACTGACTATAGCTTTGGTCTGTGGGAGGGTGGTACAAGAAGGCCAACGTGATACTTTCAGCCTCCGTGCAGGAAGGGAGAGACTCTATAGATATTCATATATGGCAAACACTTTGAAATGGAGACACTTTCCTGGGAAAAGGTTGGTTAGGTTAAGCCTAATACAACATTACCTCCAAAATTCCTTCCTGCACTGTACAGTCTCTTACCTTCCTGAAGCATCTTCCCTATCCAGAAATCCCCTCCCTCTTACTCTGAAACTGATGTTCAGGCCACTTCTCTGGGAATGAGGAGACTATTATTCTGAGTAAAATGGAATTTTTTCATGGAAGAGGTTGAGTGGCCTATCATCTCCCAGAAGAGCTGATATCTTGGTCTGCAGGCACCGCATTCTCCCATATCATTCTGCCATTGCTCAACTATTAGATAAAATGCGTATGATCTGTTTTATCCTTCTTTTACACGTGTTTCCTTTTGAAAAGATGAATTTAGACATCTACTTTCAGAGAAGGTTTGAGGCTGTGAAACCGTGAAAACAATTTCCTCAGAACACATCCAGATTTACTGCTGGGATACATGATGGCATACCCAGGACCCTCTGAGAACTAGTTCTCATTGGGTTTCCTTTCTGTGGAAGTTATGGTGTGGATAACTTGTGTATGTGCTAGTTTTGTCCCATTATTGACTACAGGTATGGCCTTGGCATGCAACAGAAACTGGGTAAATGAATACAAAATCCAACATACGGATATCCCAACCAAGAACTGAAGCCCTGTCTTCACCTCAGCAGGGTTTCTCAGCCACTTTATCCACTGTCTTTGGCCTTCAGTTTCTCTGAACCGTTTCAGGTTTCTATCTCTTCCCAGGAAGATAGAATATCTAATTCAGGCCTGGAATGACATTGGACAGCAGGGCAGCTAGAAATGAAGCATTATGGTAATGAATAGCTAGGTCATAGAGATGCAAGGAAGTGGCCAAATCGATTTGCCATGTGTCACACAGTGATCCTCATCTCCCATTTGTTGATGTTTCATACTTGTTAGCTTGCACCTGGTCTTTGCTCTGGTGAAACCAGTACTTGGCAGTGAGAACCAGGTGCAGCCCAGAGTAAAGCCGTACCACAGTCCAGGGTATACATGCGCTGTCTCATGAATCGCTTGATCCAGAGACCTTTGTCCTGGTGCTGACCAAAAAATGTCAGTAGAGACAGAGCCAATATAAATGTAACCTGAGTTTTTAAATACCTATGCATCTAAGTGCTACTTGTGACTACCATTTGCCTTTAGCTTTGAATAAATTCACATGTCAATCATTTTTACTAATTCAGAGACTTACTGCCTTCAAAATAGTAAAAAGAAACTATCAAAGTCAAAAAAGTCTTCCTTTTGGAAAGGATTTCTCCTCAGAGTTCCTTTTTGCTGCATTCTTTTCTCATGCATTCCTTGCATTACTAGGGTTTCAAAGGGCAGGTGCAAAAAAAAAACTAATAGAAGCAAGACTTAGCTTAGTTAATACCTTCCCTTCATGTAAAATTAGTCCCTAGGACACTACACTAGACAGAGAAAAAAACATTCTGTCCCTCCATCAGGTTGCTTCCTCTAGCTTTTCTATTTTTTTTACTAAGCCTCAGACATTATGGCTATTAATATTGTCAGATCCTCTTCTCAGCTTATCATAAAACATCTGCTCCCATTTTGTCCAGTTTGGTGACAGAGATGTATGGCATGCTACAATGTATTAATAATGCTCTTCTCTTGAGTGAGTATCTTCCCTTTGATTCACACTGTTAAATAATCTAATCCATGTGCTGGAATGACAGATACTACTCTGGAATCAACTGTAAGAATATCGGTTGGTATGGCAGGGGGACATTCCTCTGCTGGTTTATTTTCCTTTAGTATTAGTGTTGCATTGGCTTGTCTCAATGTCTGTAATAAATTGCTTTTCTCTCAGGAATTTTCAAATAATTTAGTTAAGAGATTGCTAACCTTATGTAAAATAATTTCTATTCAGTCCTGGCCTACATCCATTAGGCCTAAAGCTATATTGTTTTAGAGATTTCATATGGCTAGCCTGTCACTAAATGTACAGTAAAATCCACATCTTTTTCTTTCCTTTTCTTTTTTAAGAAACTCTGGGGCTTTTTTTGGCAACTCAAGTAACATAAACATTGTCTTGGGGTGCCTAATATCATGTAATGACTGAGACAAGTCACTTAAAATGTTTTATAAGATTCTTCAGCAATACTGAGAGCTTCTGATCATATCAGTTAATCTAAAGGAGAGTCTACTTTATTAGTTTACATGCTAGATTCTAACTACCATGTGTATGCTTTTTTAATTAAGCAGAGTTTAAATTGAACACACCCATTCCACCCTTTTCCTGCTTCTCTGTTTTAAAGAGTTATCTACATCTTCTCCCGGCTGTTAATTTTATACCCAAACACCCATCTGAAAAACTGCACCTCATTCATTTATTTCCTTTATTTCCTATACCAAAATTGTCAAGTATAATCCTGTGGCTCATTGAGATCCAACGTGAAACATTTCCTTCATGTTAGAGGTGTTTGCTTGCGAATCTTTGGGTTTATTGATGTTTACCTAGCTAGTCGATGAGAGTTTTTGTCAAGTAGTGGTGTATACATGGCAATGACAATGATAGTGTAATTTGCCTCTGTTACTTCCTGATATCAGGATTCTGCTGCACTGCCAATTTCATATCTGTTGTTATTATTTGTTTGACAGAATCAAAAACATGCCAGGTGCTTTGCAAAACAGAGAACAAGAAAAATCCCTTTCCAGAAGAGATGACAGCCTGAATAGAAATGACATAATGGCAGGAGACAAAGGAAGCAGAAAGGGGAAGCAAAACAAGAGTTATAACCATAAGATCATGAGATTGGTTTGGAGGCACAGTGAACGCTATGAGGCATTTTTTTAAAGCGCATAAGGACTGTAGTTGGGATTAGAGAATGGAAATGTAGAAAAGAAGCATGGAAAGGAATGGAGAAGAAGGGAGGAACAGACTGGCAACAGGAGGAAGAGTAAACAGAGGTGTATGGGAGAGGCCAGAACACACCTGACAAACTGAGGATTATGACTAATGCCAAGAATGAAAGACCACATCTGAAGAGCATGATGATTACAGGAGGATGGCAAAGCAGGACGTGGCGATGCTGCTAGGGAGAGAAGAGCCAGCAAAGCTACCCTGGAAGCCTGCCCTGGAAGCTCCTCACTAATATAACCCTGCTTCCCCATCTTCTTCCTAGCTCCCCTCTTATACACAAAAGGAGAAGGAGAAGCAGCTAAATCAAACATTTTCAAAGATCCTGCTGGGGAAGAAGTTTAAGCTGGGATGATACAGATTTACTCCTACCGATGCTGCTGCTGGTAGCAAGCAGCAGAGAGCATCCTTTTAGCCTTTCTCATGCAGACAAATCAATGGGAGTCTTTGCCACTACTTACAAATAGGCCTTGCTTAGAAATATTCAGAAAAATCATAATATTCCAGCCAATCCAGGACATTTTAAAATGTCCTTTCATTCTAGATCAGAAAGAAGCAGAAATTATAACATTCACAGTGAAATGGAAACAGGGAAGATAAATATTGAGCAGTTTCTTTTAAAGCTGAAAATAATCATTTCAGTATTACAGAAAAAATATAAGGGGATTTTGCTCATTGGAAAAAAATACGTTTTATAACTTTTCATGAAAATTTCTGATAAAATTGGGGATTATTTTAATTATGTTGGATTGGCTTTTTTATTATTCTAGAAAATTGTTATTGTCTTTAGTAAGAAACTGGAAAATTGCCATTTTCAGTCTGCCAGACATTTTAAACTACCCTGATTTCCAAGGTAAGAATTCTTCAGGAATAAGAAAGCTGCAAAGTCGCCAGTCTAATCTCTTCTTCACTTCCTTCTCCCCTGCTTCGGTGATCAGACACGTCTAATGATTAGGCTGCGAAGAGCAAAACCAGTTTCCATGTCTCCCTGAGAAAAGGCATTTTGCCAACTTCTTTAAGAATTATTAATTAAACCTGTTTCTAGGAAGTCACTTTTTTTGCTGCAGACTATGTCTCCATTTAAATCCTCCTCACAGCTCTTCCATTTTGCCTGGGAAAGTTTATCAGAAAGCACACTGGAAAGCCTCACATCTTTCTGTCTCCAGTGAAACTGGTTTTAGATATAGTTAGAGCTTGGCAGATGTACTGGTATGACAGCTGAGAGACTGCTGCTGGTAACGGAGTACTCTATTACTTTAGCATATATAGACACTTTTTGCTTGGTACTTCTGACCATAAAGAATCGATGTTTAGGGTACTATAGGTACTTACCCATTGTATCTTTTTCTTAAAAGTTTTAGAGGACAGCACTGGATAAATTTTTCTTCTTCTGCAGGGTAACACAGCTTTGCATGCGTCATTCATCTTGAGTGTACACCAGAGTTGGTTGTTGTGACACCTTATCAATATGATGCCCATTTTTTAGTCTCTTCTAGCAGTGGAATGATTTAAGTATTGTCTAGTGGAGACAATGGCCTCGTTTAAGAATATCTCGGTGACTCTGGATAGGATTCAAATAATTCACATAAGTGAGGAGGAGACAATTGAAAGTCATAGCTGAAATATTACCAAAAATTCTTAACTGGTTGGGTTTGTCCATTATTTGCTTGAAGATTTTGGTAAATGGTGGCTTACTGCATTCTCAAATAGCAGCAATGGCCAAGTACATTTTTTTAAATTTTCTTCAATTTGAACTTTGCTTAAGTTAATGAAACTCTCATTTCATTGACTTTGAGGTACTGTTTTAGCAATGAGGTTTACAAGACCTACTCTTTCAATGCAGAAACTTCAGCTACTAAAGAACATGCCAGGTATAGGGAGTTAATGTAGTGCTCAGCAGTGCTTGAAGAATCAAGCCCACCTCAGTAATTTCTCTCCACCACTATTGAAATAATACTGGATTTAAATCATATAGCCATGGTGTCAACTTACAAAATCTACCCTGCTTAAATTCCTACTACAATCAAATGTAGCTCAAAGTTTTAGAACAGTCCACCTATCGTTACAAAAAAAGAGACTGCAAAGCAGTGTCATAGCATCGCTCCATAATACAGAATTTCTTACATATCATTTTTACATATTTAAAAGAACTCCATTAACTCTGTTGCATATAATTTTTTGCAATAATAGACTCAGCAAAAAGCAATATCAAAACATAGTTAATGTTTTTACTAACTATATTTAGCCAAGCTCCAGATTTTGCATAATTTTTGCCCCTGCTTCAGGCATGATAACAGATACAGAAGATGTGTGTACCTATCTATTGATCCTAAGAGGGGATTCCACTGTGTCACACCTTCCCACCCTCTGCTGCCAAAAAAAAAAGATAATTTCAAAATTGGGAAAGGTGGCATAACCTCTGGAAACTGCAGTTTGACCAACCTTCGGAGTTCAGACACTGGACTGGTTGCATGATTTGGGAAGGGATTTGATACCAGCTACCTCAGTAGCCACATGGTGCTAAAGGAAAAAGGCTGAAAAAAAAATTATAATGTATCCTGAGAGTAAAGTACAGCATGATTATTTTGCCTATATATTTTTTTTTAACCTTACCTATATTTTTCCTGCCAATCCTTTCCTATTGTTATCTATCAGCTTTTCCAAGAAGACACCTGGTTGTGCATAAAGTAAGAATAGCTGCACTGACTCAAACCACAAGTCCACGTAGTCCTGTGTACCTGGCAGGTGTCCTGCCTTGGGAGGGGTACAGTCCTGTTGTTATAAGGCCTCCACTGTCCCCTACAGATCAGGGACACCTTCAGCTGTTGACTTCCAGACATCTTCAGGTCTCTGTATCCAATATGTACAGTTTAAATGCTTCCTAAATCAGGGGGTGCACTATGTTTAATAGTCTGAATTTGTCCTAGATGCTGTGAATTTACTTCCTCCTTCTGTCTCTCTTTCTCTTTCTGTCTTGCCCTTCTTTCTTCTGAAATAGAATGACCAGGGCTGCATGAATTATTTAACATAAGAGTGTATGATGTATTTATACAGTGATATAGCGATACAGTGTATTTATACAGTGATATATATATATGTTTTCTATTTTGTTTACAGTTTCTTTCTTAATCATCCAAATATCCTGTTTCACATTTTTACTTGATACTGAGTGCTTGACTTGATGTTTTCAGAGAGCTGTCTAATATTAATTCATTATTTTTTTTCTTCTCAAGCAATAGTTAATTTGTAGTCCCTGCCTGTGTATGTATAGTTAGACTTACTTTTCTCTTGTGCATTACTTTCTGCTTTATCAAATTTCATCATGACTTTATTGCCAACAGCATTCAAAATTGTGAAATCATTTTGCAGTTCCTTACAGGCAGCTTCTGATTTAACTTTTAAAAATCATTTTGTATCAAACTTTCTCATCTGACAGTTCTTAGCTATCACATTTCCCTTTACTACTAATAAAAGTACTTTGCTTAAATCCTTTGTTTTAATTCATGCCTCAGTCCAGGAATCTAACACACTTAAGTGCCCAGTTGCCGTAATTCATTTCTGCATTTTTCCGGGTGGGGGAGGGAGGCCTTCAAGCTATTGTCTTTTATGTTTTATTAATTGGAGAGGTTAAAAGTAAAATTTAGACCTTCTTATTGCCTCCTGGTTCCGACAGAGTGCTTATACAACCTTCAGAGTGAAAAATTGCTAAGGGTTAGATCCATAAAGCGCATTTAGGAATAGCCTTTGGCCTCTTAGATTTCCTGCCTCCTTGCAGAAGCTATAAACCCAGATTGGGTACATCCCTCTACACTGAAAGAAGATAGCATCCTCCCAACGTTAGCAACAGTGTCCACCAACTCTGGCATACTGAGCAGGAAACAGTCTGAGTGAACTGGAGAAACAGCCAGAGGGAGGAAACAAAACAAGTGAATGGTGTACTCTTATTGGTATATTTTTCAACACTGTCTAACTCATGGGACTACAGGGTGGTGCGAGGTGAGACTTTCAGCATCTCTCCCACAGTAGCTGTTCCTTTTGTTTATCCCACTATTCCCTGTAGTGAGCGCTGGCATCAAACTACAATGCTGACGTGCCAGTCCCTCTCTTTCTTTCTATCCCAGTAAATATTGAACTTTCAGGGTTAGGCCACAAATGAGTAGACATTGGGGAACTACCTTGTCAGTATGAGCACCCAAAGCTGCATTTAGCCACTTCTGTTTCATTTCAGGTCTAAGCTGGAGTCTGTGTTACAATACCAGTGAATACAGTGAGAATAATTTGAACCCTGACTTAGGAAAACTGTTAAACTAGCTTGTGTAAAAAGGAATCACTTCTGTTTGTCCCATATATTAACTTCACTGAAATGGCATTTTAGTGATTCTCCAAAACCTATTCTCTGTCTACACAAGGATTATGCCATGACCCATGTCACCTTATGTGAATACTGACAGTAAGTAATTGTAGACAGGTGAGTAGACCCTATGAGTTATTAGTATTCATAACATATGAGATATCTTACGTAGTGGGGGAAATAAGTGGGCAATATTAGTGGGCGATGACTGACATTTAGTGTTTCTTAAGCTGACTTGCATCTTGGATATCTGAGAGGAGGAATGAAGAGGATTTTTTTTATTTGTTTGTTTTTTAGAAACATCTCCACTTGCCTATATTAAAAAAAAAAAGCCACAACAACACAGAAATATGTAGTACTGTGTTTATTTTTCTGTAGTTATAAAAGTAATTCTCTCAAAAGCTGTAGCTATACTCGGCTGGCCAGTGACAAAAGAGAACTAGCTGTCAGAAGAGATTTGTGATGTTCCTAGAGAAAGTGTTATGAATTTCTATCTGTTCCATTACAGTCTAGATGCCTGTAAATCTTCCTCTGAATCAGTAGAACTTTGGGAACTAATAAGCCAAAAATTAAGAGACTCCACAAA